GGGGGGGGGGGGGGGGGGGGGGGGGGGGAGGGGGCAATATGTACCTTCGTCGAAACATAGGTATCCTTACTCTTCTTCACTTCTGTCGAGGAAAACGAATCCAGCGCCGTTCCAGTCGCTAACATTGTCTGGGCCGCCGGTATTCATGTTCAGCACCATGCATGAGCTGGGGGGTGTACTCATACTCATGAGTACACCCCCCAGCAGCTGGGAGGGGATCAAATCAGTTTTTTTGCGGAGTGCAACCTGTATCATAGTTCTTGCGAATCCGAGAAACCTCTTACGGTCGGTGAGTGCTATGCTTCTCATTTTTTTAGTGTTTGTCTTGCCACACTGCCTCACGCTCTCGTTACGATACAAGCCAAAGAAGCATTGTATAGCCCACCCATGCGTGCTTTATGTGTGTGTGCCATCCCCCGGATGGGGTGCCGTCGCTCGAGTTGATGTTGTGTGCGCACGGCATCGTCTACCTGCTTTCCACGCACACCGGGTCTGGTTTTACACACTCATCGGGTGTGGTATAGACTAATGTCTTTCCAACGAAAAGGAAGATGATTAAGCATGGTTTATTAGCGGACGTTCAGTCTTCCTGGTACTCCTTTGAGCCAAGCACGACGGCGCTGCCCGTATCGTATGAAACTTGCGTAGCTTCACTACTACCCGATGGCATCGGGCTTGCCTTTGTATTGGTTGGTGAGTGGTCGGACGCATCGATAAGGTATTCATTGGTTGCGAAGAGTAAGCCAACACGCAAGCAGGCGACCGTCCCGGTGCACGTGACAAGAGTCACAACTATAAACGAACATGTACATGTCTAGATGAGAGTTGCAAGTAGGTAAAAGCAATCGTTACTCACTGTTCTTCCTCTGGTGATCATGAGGTGCGCAGCTGATTCGCGGGCTGATTGGAATTTCCATATTTCTTCCGGGCGGGGTGTGTAAAGAGTTTTCGCCTCGATATTTCCATATTTCTTCCAACGTGTAATAGAACTATGAGTTTTCGCCTCGATATTTCCATATTTCTTCGTATTATGAGTTTTCGCCTCGATATTCCCGTATTTCTTTCGAAGTGTAGAAAGAGCTTTCGCCTCTAGACTATACATTTTGTATTATGTAAGTCAAAATCGAAGGCAAGCACCGCAGGGGGGGGTGGGTGGGAGGCCTTAGGGAGAGGTGGTATGACCACGGATTGGAGCTCCGACCTGGCAGAAATGCTGTGAGCGCGTATATACAGTAGCTAGTCAAGGGGCGACGGTTCATTGCTGATTCGTTTTTGGGCTGATGGACAGTACGGCCCACCTAAAAGCCGAGTGTATCCCGCTCGCAGCCTTTCGTGGTGGTTGTCTAAATGTAATTTTTTGAACATGGTCAGTTGAACAGCAAGTGTTTCGGTCGTGCACAGCCAGAAAATGCAGATTGATTGTAGGTCTTTCTTTGAACAGGCGTCGTTAGAACAACTCGATGCACTCTTGTCGACGCACTCTGACGACGAGCCGGTTCTTGAAGGGGGAAACGCGAAAGAGGGGTGACAAGCTGGCTGATCGCAGAGGGTACCGGGGACACACCACCCCCCGTCCCCCGCGTCTGGCGCCATGGCTACCGCCGCCGAGCCAACCGTGTTGCACGCCCGCACGCCCTCCCTTCTACAATGCCGGTCGGACTTGCTCGTAGGACTACCGAATCCCGCCTCTACGTCTACGGGTGGCAATATCGCGTCGAAAGAGAGAGTGGGTGCACGTCGCCATCACGAGCAATTGATGGCAGCCGTGCGTTCGATACCGGGTCGTGGGTAACCAACCCTCTCTCAGCTATGCCGCGGCGAACTTCAACCTCTTTGAGCTCTCGCGAACGGCTTCTGCTTGGTCGACCCTGCCGGCTTCTTTACTGTTAGCGACTTGATTCTGGCGCTTTCGGGTCCACCGGTCCCCGTGAACAAGGTCCCATATGTAGTGAACGCCGTGAGTGGTCCCTTGATAAAAACGACGAACGACTCCTTGTGGAACCAGCACTCTCGTTCACGTAGACCCTGCTGTTGGCATCGATGGCGCCGAAGGGGTCCGAAACTTCCTCGCTCATCTTGTTTCTGTGTGCGAGGCCAGTCCAAGCTAAGCTCGTCGTCCACCGAGCCTTGCGCAAGAGGTAGCCTAGAGGTTCACCAAGAAGAGGTGGCACGTGTCCAAGCCGGCCAGGCGAAAGACGGGGGTGATTAAATGTCCGACCCGCTCGAGGACAGCAAGCACAAACCAGTAGCGCAAAACTGTGAGAAACTCCACTTCCCCAACCAACTTCTGCCACGTTCGTAGTAGTCCCAGCCCGCCGAGAGACTTCCGTCAATAGTCCAGGGCGGTCGATATCGTTCAGAAAACGCACATAGCATCAGAGAGAGATTAACTATAATAGCCGATCCAGATCATCTCACAGATGATGGTTTTTGTGTTTTCTGGGGAAACCAAACAAACACACGTGGCAGGATTTACTACCTCTTGCCCTACGGCAGGCGAGGTCCGTCTGTTTACAGTTTAGGCGTCCTGCGGGTGTATATTCCGTATAGTTTCCGTCACACGCGAAGGAGGGAAACAATGTGCGACGCATCGATCGCAGCGCATTTTTCCGAAACAAAGAAAAAAAACGGCGTGGGGATCCAGACACACCGACAAAAAAAAAAAAACAGAACAACCTAGGCATACAAGCGCGGCCAACCAGCTAACCACCACCACCGCAATGTTCGGTAGAAGGTGGAAGCACCTACTACTCGTATTCGACAAACTCCGCTTTTCAAATTCGACACCCGCTGCTCGTACGGTTTTCTTCGAACACACGATATGCTCATGGCCGCCTGAAATCCTATGGAGAATCAAGAGCTTTAGCCCCCACTCGACCCAATCCAAAAACTGAAGCCACGGGCATGGCGGAAATACCGTCAACACAACTACGACGCACACAAATTTTTCATCCCGCTAAAAAATAGACTGGCGACTATTCTTTGGTCAAGACGGTTGGCGTTGTCGATACAAGATGAAAGAAAACGCACCAATATTCATTAACTACAGGCGAATTCGAAAGTAGACAGCCCAACTGACAAATAGTGCGTGTGCGTACCACACCGAGACGCGTTGTTCTGGAGCCGACATCCAATAAAAAAAACAAAATCGGGCCGTATGTAGCGTCGCTCTCCGCATTTAGTCATGCACCCACAAGCAACGTTCTCCCTGCTGAGCACACATTTTAACACGGCTTTGCAGAGAGAGAGACAGAGAGAGAGATGCGATGGTCCGTGGTCTCAAGACGTCGGTCAGAATGACGAGCACACCCCCCCCTCGCTCATCAAGCCTTCTTGTCCCCATGAAGAACCACCAACAAAAATAAAAGCATGTCGAATGTTTCAAACTTTAGGTCGATGGGGGCTGGGGAGGGTGCTTAGCCATGTCCCTCCCGTAGCTCGCTCAAAGACTTAACACATGAACGGACCGGTCCCTCCGACCGCCCGTGTATAGATACATGCAACGGGAGTACATGTGCCTGAGCCGGATGGGCAGGCAGCTCCCATGTCGTGCAAACCGTGAAATCTACAAACAGCCTCCTTCTTCTCATGAAGTGGCGGTTTTCCTAGCACACCTCCGGAAACGAAATGGTCATGGTTCCCTAGCGTGCACCCCATTCGAACGAGAGCAAACTTGCGGCGATCATGGGCGATCCGCGCCCCCTCCCTCCTCGCTTACACGTGCGTCAAATCTCTATTTGTCCCCCTTCTGCGTACCCATGGCTAACCCAAGGACAGATGCAAAAGGGCCCCCGAAGGGGAAAATGTTATCGCACCACGTTTTCCTTATACAGAGCTATTGGTGCCCGACAAATGCACGCATGAAGAAACGAGATTTTTTTTTAAGTTTTTTTTTTGAAGAATTAGAGGCTTACTTTTTTCCACATAAAATAAGAAAATAGGGTTAAGAAAACATATCCCAGTCTGGGTCACACAACAAGAAATGTCTCAACAAGAAACAGCGGCGACCGCTGCCGCCCTATTACGTAAGAAACGAGGGGTTGCGGGAGAGTGTGTCGAATAAGAAAAACCTCACAGCTCCTCCCATCTCTCGCTCTTTCCCCCCTCTCCCACTACCCCCCCCCTCCCAAGTGCATTATTGGTTATACGACGAGTGTGTTGTTTTGGGGCACACCCTCCGGCCCCTTGCCGGCTCTGGCACTCTCTGGCGCTCCGGCTCTGGCGCAGCACACCAGACAGGCTGCGAACTACGATATGCTGTCTACTGTACGGTTTTGATGGTGCTCTCCGCCAGTCCTCGTGAGCAGAGAAAAAAAAAAAGCCGATTTAAGAAATTCAGCAGGATTTGGCCGCAGGAAAAATAAGAAACTTGACATCAGAAATCGAACGACATACGCTGAGTTCCCACAACAGAAATTCGAGCCTGGCCCTGAAACAAGCGTTTCTTAATTGCGGGCGCCAAAAAAACACTTGGAACGAAAAATGACACCAAACCAGCACTGCTGTGGTATCGGGTCCTTCCCAAACATATAACAAAGTGAACAATAACAACAACAAAAACACTCACACCTACAACAACCTCAGTGCGAGACAGCGTCGCATTCAAATCATATTAGGATACAAAAAAAAAACAAACTCGACCACCACAACAGCAACCAGCAACCCGGCCGGTTTAAGGTCACTCGTCAGTCGAGGAAGACGATTGCTTCGGAAGGGACTCCCATCTCTGCCAGGATAGACTCCACGTAGAACACGAACCCGTTCGGCCCGGAAACCACCACCTGGAACGGAATGACCGCATCGGATTCGAACACGACCACGTGAATGAATGCAGACGTGGTGAATTGAGATTTGGGGGGCCACGACCAGACTGGACCAAGAAAAAAAAGATGCGATTCCATCAGATTTGACGCTACTTTGTACATAGACTACAACCAAGTAGGACGATATGATTGGATATGCTTGGGTTTGGCGCAAATTTTCTTCGCGTTGTAAAGGGGGGGGGGGGGGGGGGGGGGG